CCTGCTGAAAACCCGTTTTCTCCCTGAGTCTGAATGCAGGATGGGTTACCTTGTTTCAAGGGAAGGGCCTCTATAAGGAAAATAAACTGAACAACTGCTCAGTGGTTTGATTCAGGGAGTGGGCCAACCCTGTCCTTGCCCCTACTGCAAGGTTTCTCCCTACAGCACCATCAACCACCATCCTTCCTTCTATAGCCTCCATCACCGAGGGTTTTCTCAGTACATGCCTGCAGCAAGCCCTTACAGAGGCCCCCCTCACGCCCTCTACCCTGCGCCCATACCTTGCACAGCGGCCCCTGCACCCTGCTCTCAGGAAAGGGCACTGTTCACTCGCAGGCTGCTGATTTCCTTAAGATCATGATAAACACGGCTGAGCCTGGGTCACCTAAAACCAGAGTTTACGTGGCCTATTCTGGAGGATTTCTTTGGTTCACTCTCTGACCTCTTGGATTCTGGAAGCTTCTCCATCCCCCACCTAGTTAGATTTTACTTAATCGTAACTTGAGCTTCCAAGACTTGGTCTGTCTACAGTCTGTGTAGAATGCTAGTGCCATCAGTTTCCTTTCAGCTCGTCTTGCCTGTGCATCCTAGTCTCTCAAGGCCAGTCCTGGCCTGTCTTGTCACTGCCCACACTCAGGTGGGGACCAAAGAAGGTGGCATGGAGCCTGACCTCTGTGCTCCTCAGCCCCTCTCCCCCAGATTCTCCGTGGATTAACAATATGTCCTGCGGTCCTTGTGTCCCAAATCTTCCTTCCTCCACCCTTCGCATTACTTGCTACTGCCCTTCCTTTAACTTAGCATAAATGTCACCTTCTCTGAGAGGCCTTCCTTGAATATCTTCTCCAAAGGATACCTATCCCTCTTGTTATTTATCTCAGATCCTTCCCTGTTTCCATCAAAAGAACTTGAAATGTGAAAGAACTTTTATTTATTCTGTCCATCCTTTCTATTAAACTATCACTGCCCTGAAGTTGGAAGCCTATCTGCCCTGGTCACCATTGTGTCTTGAGCATCTAGCATGGGGCCAGGCCCAGCATAGATGTTTCCCACAGCTTGCTGAATGTATATATGACTTATGAGAAAAGAGCAACTGGGGGCTCCCAGTAGACTAAAGAGATCTGTGGTCACTATAAAGAGCATCCTTCTTCACCCTCTTAATCCTTCCATTGATGATCTCATTACAGTCTTGGCTGAGAAAATGCACCACCACCAAGGTGTGCCCATTGCTGTAAGGTATATTTTCATCTGGCCCTCTCACTACATGGTAAATTATCATGCTTTCTTTCTGGTTATGGTGGCACAATCATAACTGTAGGGTTGTGGATGGTGAAAGAAAATTCCTCAAAACCTTTCAGTAGAGGTATATCCCAAAATAATGATCCCCATTCTTCTGCCACCAGGCAGATTGCACAAGTCACCTGACATCAAACCTTGGGCTATAACATAGAAGATGTGGGCCCATATGACAAGGGGGCAGATTGATGCTCTAATGCTTCGATAAATCAAGTGTGTTTAGCTTCTCAGAAATAAGCAACACTTGCCAGACAGCCCCCGAAAAAGCAAATTCAAAACTTCATTTGCCTGCCATGCTGTAAGTACACAAAGAAAAAACTAACTGCCAATTTAAAATCAGTCACAGAACAGGAGCTTCTGGGTTGGTGAACACATGGAGGTGCTGGGAGAGTGGTGTGCCTGAGGAAGGCATGGGAACTCTGCTCCCATTCCCCATGCATTGCCCTATGCATCCCTTTCATCTGCCTGTTCCTGAGTTATATCATTTTATGATCAACTGCGGATCTACCATGTGGCTGACAGGGTTTTGGTGCTCTGACTGGGGGTCAGGCCTGTGCCTCTGAAGTGGGAGAGCCGAGTCCAGGACATTGGTCCACCAGAGCTCCTGGCTCCACGTAATATCAAACGGTGAAAGCTCTCCCAGAGATCTCCACCTCAACGCTAAGACCCAGCTGTACTCAACAACCAGCAAACTACAGTGCTGGACACCCTATGCCAAACAACCAGCAAGAAAGGAACACAATCCCACCCATTAGCAGAGAGGCTGTCTAAAATCATACTCAGTTCACAGACACCCCAAAACACACCACAAGATGCGGTGCTGCTCACCAGAAAGACAAGATCCAGGCTCATCCACCAGAACACAGGCACTAGTCCCCTCCACCAGGAAGCCTACACAACCCACTGAACCAACCTTAGCCACTGGGGGCAGACACCAAAAACAATGGGAAGTACGAACCTGCAGAATGTGAAAAGGAGACCCCAAATACAGTAAGTTAAGCAAAATGAGAAGACAGAGAAACACACAGCAGATAAAGGAGCAACGTAAAAACTCACCAGACCAAACAAATGAAGAGGAAAGAGGCAGTATACCTGAAAAAGAATTCAGAATAGGGAGAGTAAGGATGATCCTAAAATTGGAAATAGAATGGAGAAAATACAAGAAACATTTAACAAGGACCTAGAAGAACTAAAGAGCAAACAAACAATGATGAACAACACAATAAATGAAATTAAAAATTCTCTAGAAGGGATCAATAGCAGAATAACTGAGGCAGAAGAACGGATAAGTGACCTGGAAGATAAAATAGTGGAAATAACTACTGCAGAGCAGAATAAAGAAAAAAAGAATGAAAAGAATTGAGGACAATCTCAGAGACATCTGGGACAGCATTATATGCACCAACATTCAAATTATAGGGGTCCCAGAAGACGAAGAGAAAAAGAAAGGGACTGAGAAAATATCTGAAGCGATTATGGTTGAAAACTTCCCTAATATGGGAAAGGAAATAGTCAATCAAGTCCAGGAAGTTCAGAGACTCCATACAGGCTAAATCCAAGGAGAAACATGCCAATTCACATACTAATCAAACTATCAAAAATTAAGCAGCAAGGGAAAAACAACAAACAACATACAAGGGAATTCTCATAAGCTAACAACTGATTTTTCAGCAGAAACTCTGCAAGCAAGAAGGGAGTGGCAGGACATATTTAAAGTGATGAAAGGGAAAAACCTACAACCAAGATTACTCTACCCAGCAAGGATCTCATTCAGATTCGATGGAGAAATTAAAACCTTTACAGACAAGCAAAAGCTAAGAGAATTCAGCACCACCAAACGAGCTTTACAACAAATGTTAAAGGAACTTCTCTAGGCAGGAAACACAAGAGAAGGAACAGAACTACAATAACAAATCCAAAACAATTAAGAAAATGGGAATAGGAACATACATTTCGAAAATTACCTTAAATGTAAATGGATTAAATGCTCCAACCAAAAGACATGGCATGGCTGAATGGATACAAAAACAAGACCCATACATATGCTGTCTACAGGAGACCTACTTCATACCTAGGGACACATACAGACTGAAAGTGAGGGGACGGAAAAAGATATCCCATGCAAATGGAAATCAAAAGAAAGCTGGAGGAGAAATTGTCATATCAGACAAAATAGACTTTAAAATTAAAACTATTACAAGAGACAAAGAAGGACACTACATAATGATCAAGGGATCGATCCAAGAAGAAGATATAATAATTTTAATGTTTATGCACCCAACATAGGAGCACCTCAATACATAACGCAAACGCTAACAGCCATAAAAGGGGAAATCGACAGTAACACAATCATACTGGGGACTTTAACACCCCACTTTCACCAATGGACAGATCATCCAAAATGAAAATAAATAAGGAAACACAAGCTTTAAATGACACATTAAACAAGATGGACTTGATATTTATAGGACACTCCATCCAAAAACAAGAGAATACACTTTCTTCTCAAGTGCTCATGGAACATTCTCCAGTATACCTTGGGTCACAAATAAAGCCTTGGTAAATTTAAGAAAATTGAAATCATATCAAGTATCTTTTCTGATCACAACACTATGAGACTAGATATCAATTACAGGAAACAACATGTAAAAAATACAAACACATGGAGGCTAAACAATACACTACTTAATAACCAAGAGATCACTGAAGAAACCAAAGAGGAAATCAAAAAATACCTATAAACAAATGACAATGAAAACATGATGACCCAAAACCTATGGGATGTAGCAAAAGCAGTTCTAAGAGGGAAATTTATAGCAATATAATCCTATCTCAAGAAACAAGAAACATCTCAATAAACACCCTAACCTTACACCTAGAGCAATTAGAGAAAGAAACAAAAAACCACAAAGTTAGCAGAAGGAAAGAAATCATAAAGAGCAGATCAGAAATAAATGAAAAAGAAATGAAAGAAACAATAGCAAAGGTCAACAAAACTAAAAGCTGGTTCTTTGAGAAGATAAACAAAATTGATAAACCATTAGCCAGACTCGTCAAGAAAAAAAGGGAGAAGACTCAAATCAATAGA